GGGAGCCGCGGAAGCTCTTGAGCGGGGCCCGCTTGCACTTCATGGGCAGCAGCCTGTAGAGTTTGTACGGGTACACGGTGGGCTTCAGGCCGCCGTTGGCCGTCTTCTTGTTGATGGAGAGCCTGTGGTCGATGGCGTGGAAAGACTTCTGGTGGTTCTTCAGGATGTAGTAGGTCATGAAGGTCTCCAGACAGAAGATGCACTGGTAGCGCCTCTCCCCCGTGTGCCAGATCTCGTGCCGCGTCCTGTACTCGGCCAGCGCGAACACTTTGTTGCAGTAGTGGCAAGGGTACGTCCTCCTCCACGAGTGGACGTTGGCGTGCCTCCGGAGGCTGGACAGGGTCACGTAGCTCCGTTTGCACACCACGCAGCTGTACAGCATCTGCCCGTTGACGAACTTGACCATGTGGTCCGCGTCCGGCAGGGCGCCGCCGGCCCCGGCCAGCTCGCCGGTCCTGCGCTGCGGTAGCAAGGTTTCTGGGCCCGCGAAGGATCCCCCATTCTGTCCTATGGTGGGATACTTTTCTAAAAAGCCGGGGTCCTCCCCAGCGGCGGGCAGCTGGCCGGACCTCATGCAGATGTGCTCGTGGCGGTCCAGCCTGTTGAGCGTGGTGAACTGCTTGTTGCAGTACCTGCACACGGGGGGCTCCCGGGTGGGCCTGTGAAGCTGCATGTGGGCGCTGAGCAGGGTGCTGCTGTCGAAGGACTGCGAACAGCAGCTGCAGCTGTAGATGAGCGGTGGGACCTCGGCGGCAGGCGGCCCAGCCCCGTCGGGGAAGGCATGCACGGCGGCGGCAGGCGGCCCAGCCCCTTCGGGGAAGGCATGCACGGCGGCGGCAGCAGCGGCAGCAGCGGCAGCGGCTGCAGCTGCGGCGTCTTCGCAGGACGGAGGAACATCTTCCTTGTCGGGGGTCTTGGCCCGAGGGAGGGCTGTGGCGGGCTGCGGACTCCTCTCTCGGTCGGCCTGGGGGCTGGTTACTGGAGGGGCTGCGAGGTTTTCTGGGGTCGAGTCAGAATCCTGGGGTATGGAGAGTTTCTTTGGCTTTGGGCATGCATTCGGTTGGGTGGCGGGGGCTTCGCCGTTTTCCCTGCCCACCCTGTCCGGTGAGCTGCGGTCCTGTTCCCGCGCGGGCTGACTCCGGTAAGGCTCAGGGATGGAGGACACGGCGTACGAGTGCTCGGCCAGCGTGCGGACGGGCTCCGCCTCGTGGCACACATCTGTGCGCTCCAGGCAGAGGCTGGCCGTCCTCATGGAGTCGGACATCTTTTTGAAGCTGGCCCTCAAGTCCAGCGGGGAAAACATGCTATTGCTGTTCTCCGTCTCGATGATGGAGAACGCATTGGTGATCCTCGGCCCATTGGTGGCGGCCGGCTCTTCCTGCCGCCTCTCGTTCTTCTCCTCTTTCACTGTGCCCTTCTCGGTGATGCAGAACACGTAAGGGCTGGGGGAGCTGGCGAAGCTGCGGTCGGTGAGGTCCTCCAGGAACGCGATGCCCAGCTTTCGCCCGGCGGCCGCCAGGTCCGTGACCGTCTCCTGTGTCCTGACCACCACCGTGGAGCTGTAGATGTAATTGAGGATTTCCGTGAACACCTCGGCCTTGAGGTCATCCAGCTCCAGGACATGGCTGGAGATGCAGATGGTGTGACTCCAGAAGATGTTCTTGAAATACAGGCTGGAGGCGGCCAGGACATTGCTGTGGGCCTTGAACTTGGTGTCTTCCACGATGATGGTGACGTCACACAAGATGCCCCGGATGCGCTGCTCGTTCAGGATGGAGAGCACCGTGTCGCTGTGGACATCATCTTTGAGGTCCCTGGAGAGGGACATGACTGTCATCTGAAACAAGAGGAGAGACATGGTGAGCGGCCCTTCCGCCAGCAGCTTCCTGGTTTCTAGGCTACGGGTGATTTCGGAGGATGTCTTTTCTCTGGGGTGTGGGGACGGGAATACTCGGGGTTTTGTCTCATTCTCTTGTTGGTTCTTCCTGGGACTCAGAGTCAAATGTTAGAAGCTAAAACTGTCGTCCTCGCCCAGGGGCTGTGGCTCAAGGCTGTTGGAGTTGGAAAGGCTCCGGAATGCTTTCCCCTGCGCTCTCCAAAGCTGTGGCGAGGTACACAGGTCCAAACTCAGGGGTGGGGGTTCTTGTCACCCCAATGGGAAGGGGAGGTCTCACCACTGCTCAGGGCTGCTGCTCGGAATCTAGAATTAAGCGGCTCCTGGTCCTTCCATAAGCCTCCTGTTTGTATTCTACTTTTTGTCTCGTTTTGTCTTCGTTTCGTGGGGCCTTAGTTAGGGGTGGGAGCCAGGGCCTTGCATGTGCTAGGCGAGCCTCTACCAGGAACTGGCACCCCTCGCCCCTCCCGATTTCAACCAACGGCCCTGATGATCATACCCCAACATACAACAGAAGAGTCTTTATTTATTTATTTATTGTTGGTCATGAGGCTTGAACTCTGGGCCTGGGTGCTGTCCCTCAGCTCTTCAGCTCAAGGAGAACGTTCTACCACTTGAGCCACAGCACCACTTCCGGTTTTCTGGGAGTTAATTAGAGATGAGAGTCTCACGGACTTTCCTGCCTGGGCTGGCTTTGAACTGCGATCCTCAGCTCTCGGCCTCCTGAGTAGCTAGGATGACAGGCGTGAGCCATCGGCGCCCAGCTTTAGAAGAGCAATTTTTACAAGTTTCCCTGAAGTGGTACGTCAGTGTGAGAAGCGGCTAGCACGGAAGGGGGCTGTCACTGGGGAGAGTCACTGTCTGTGTCGGGGGACACCCTGCTGTCCGCTAGCGGCCCTGGAGGGGTCCGTCCCATTAAAGGTCTGAAGCCAAAGCAGACTGGACTTTTCAAAAACAGCTGTGGGAGGTGCTGAGGTGAGGGGAAAAGGTGTGGGGAGAGGTTACACAGGTGGTACCTCGTGGCAGCCAGGAAGGGGGAGGAGCAAGTGCTCTGTCTCTTTCCCCTGGTATTCCACCCTTGGGCCCCGGGCCCCGGCCTCTGGGGAGTGCAGCCCCCTTCAGGGCAGCCTCCCCGTGTGGCTGCGGCTACTCTCTGAAAGCAGACACTCCCAGATGTAATGTGTGCTTCACTCACCTCTGAGGTACTGCTTCATCACTTCAGCTTGACAAGCTGAAACTATACAACTGGCAACATTCTTCACACACACACACACACACACACACACACCCACGTACGCCTACCGCTGACTGGGAGACCATGCTGTTCTTTCCAGACTGTGAGCCTAGTCCAGAATCCTAACTGACCCTCCAGTTTGGACAACCAAAGCAACAGCTTTCGAAAAACATGGCACCCAGCAACAGCCACAAAATGAACAACTGACCGTGTGTACCACCACTAATGGCTCCTCCCTGAGATTAAGAATGAAACCACCCATCGTCCACAGGACCGACAGACTTTCTGCTGTCCTGGATGGACCGTCTCCAGAAAGCTACAGGTTCTGATAGACTAAAAACTGCCAGTGCTGCTTTCTCCCCAGCACCAGAGTACAGCCATTTAGCTTGAGGCGTTTATTCCGTTGGAAGGGCCAGAGGGTCACACAAAAGAACCTCTTTGTACCTTTTTCTAAAGTTGCTATTATAAGCCAGCCCATTATGCTATTTAGCGTCTTTCATCCAAGCATCCGTCTGGTAAATTCTTGTATCATATTCGGGCACAGGGAAGAATTGCCTTTCTACTAACAGACCCTTCATTTCAGATCAAGAGAACGATGCATTCACTACATTTCCCTTTCTGCTCTGCAGACCACGGAGTGGTGAATTAACTGTCACCAATTGTTGTGGCCGTTCATGGCCTGGTTCCTGGTGTGACTGTCTCTCGTTTTCTTTATCTTATGGTACGGTGGGTACTGAAATTTTTATCTCGATTCTATAAAAGTACTTATTGAACAGTAGAAAGCGGTCTTGAGACCAATGCTGACCCTGCCCCCACATTTTGGGACAGGAGGGATGTCCGAACCCTGCCCTTCCCTGGGAAGCTTTAGCCCAGTTCAGTAACGGATTTCCCCTCTCTCCACTTGCACTGCTGGGGTGAGACCCAGATCCCACAGACACATCTGTACCTCATCTTTCCCTTGAAAGGACACACGGGCAGACACTGAAGAGTCTTCTTCCTCACCCGTTCTCAGGAGGTTTGTGATCAACCAACCAGAAGCAGGTCTAAGGGCTGACACTAAAAACCTAGGGCCACAGGGACCCTAAAACTGCCCTCAGAGGCTTGCAGGGACTTGAGGAAAATAGAATATATCCAGGAAACACTCCATCAGGCCTGCTGGGAGGGGTCGGGTGTGGGAGGGGCGTGGCTTAGGGAGCGGGTAGTTCCAGCTTTACTGCTGGAGGTTGGTCCTCTTCTAAGAGCGGGATGGGTGGAACCCAACTCTGCAGACAGCAGCAGAGGGAGAAAAGGGAATCCAGGCAGCGAGAAAGGCAAAGTTTCAAGCCCTGACGGAGTTTATAATCTCGGAGCCAATACAGTGACTTCAGCTGAAGAATACAAACCGGCAAAGTGTCCAGGCACTGAATCCCGTAAAAGATGCCATTTAATGATTTAAAAAATGAATTAACATGCAACCAGTCCTACAGTGGGGTTTCACTGTGACATTTCCACACACGTAGACTATGTCTCCAACCAAACCTCCCCCATCATCTCCCGCTTCTTAGGGCAGTTTCAACCGGTTTCATTGTTCTATTTTCACAGGTGCACATAAGCTTCCTTGACCATCCGTCCTCCTCGCTGGCCCTCCCCCACTTCCCCATCCGACCTCCTCGCTGGCCCTCCCCCCCTTCCCCACCCGACCTCCTCGCTGGCCCTCCCCCCTTCCCCTGGCACCCTGCTCCCACCCCCACGAGAGCTGGCTGCGCTTCCCTGACATCCGTTTTCTTTTTCGGCATGTATTAACTGTACCAAGGGGCTTCACCATGGCGTTCCAGACATGCGTATGTCATGTGCCTTTTCTTTCCTGCTTTAAGAGCTACTGGAACATTAAGACTCTTCACACACACACACACACACACACACACACACACACACACACACCTCTCTCGTTGAACCGCACACTGGTCCTAAATCACCAGGTATTGTCGCCGATCTCAGAGGATGCTATACTCTGTGTCTAATGGCAGCCATACCCTACGTGTCTAATAAAAACCACACGTCATGTGTCTAATAAAAGCCCAAGTCCAGGAATCTGAAGCGAAGGGAGGAATGAGGTTAGTCTGCAGAACAGCTGTGGCTCCTACGGGTGACAGGGTCTATGTAATCCCCAAAGGGGTTGTTTGAAATCATGTTTTTTTTTGCCGGTCCTGGGGCTTGAACTCAAGGCCTGGGCACTGTCATAGAGCCTCTCTGTGGTCAAGGCTGGAGCTCTACCACTTGAGCCACGGCGCCACTTCCAGCCTTTTCTGTGTATGTGGTATTAAGGAATCGAAGCCAGGGCTTCATGCATGCACGGCACGCACTCTACCACTGAGCTACATTCTCGGCCTGAAACCATGTTTGAAGATCTGTCTAACAAAATGTTGAGCTCCTCTAATATTTGGAAATCAATGCATCATCTTGAAAACCAGAAAGACCCGGCACCACCAGGGTGGCCGCCTGTCTGGCAAGGACTGGCACGGAGTCGCTGTGCGCACCATGTGCGCCGAGCACCGGCGGCGGTCTCTGGAGCACGGCGGGCAGCCCTCTGGCAAGCTCAGTAGGTGCCGCCGGCGAGGACAGGAAGTGAGGAGCCCTGGCCGGGAGCCCTCCTGGACCCACGGTTCAGCTGTCTCCAGATGAAAACCGACGCATCCTTCTCACGCACACTGGTTTTCTTCTGTTCTAACATTCAAGCAACCTTCGCTGCCACCTTTCTTCACAGAGTGACTTAAAACAGAAGTCACAGGAGTTCCTGACTATGGAAAGCCCACATCAGATTAAAAGAAAAAGAAACCTAACTTTGAAAGGAGATTCAATTTACATGCTACTTTCTTGTTTTCTCAAAAGGAAGCTGTGCGCAGTAAGTTCACTATTCTTAGTAGTATTACCGAGCTGGGAGAGATCAGCATGGAAAGACTAACAAAAATTTTCTAGACAAGAAAAAAGTTTAACGAGTTGGTAACTTGAAACACATAGGAGGCCTGGTTTCAGGGACAGAACTGAGGATGGCGGTTCAAAGCCAGCCTAGTCAGGAAGGCCCGTGAAGATCGCGGTTCAAAGCCAGCCTAGTCAGGAAGGCCCGTGAGGATCGCGGTTCAAAGCCAGCCTAG